CGGGGGGGGGGGGGGGGGGGTATGGTGAAGTAATGTTTTGTGACCTGTCTGGAGTTGGAGGTTGACGAGCGTACAGCAGTATATGCATGGGGAGTATATTTTGTCATATGAGCAAGGCGTTCGTGTTATGTGTACTGCAAAGGCGTGGATAGAGTGTCACGATACTGCTGCTGCTGCTGTGTTGGCTGAAATGATTGTTCTTGACCTTGGCTCGCTGCCTCCATCATACCCGCTCTGCATGTTTTCTGTATTGCGAAGGCATGCATAGATTTTCACGACATGAATCGCTGCTGCTGTGTGTTCGCATATTAAAGAATTGTTCTTCGTCCGAGCTCCCTACCTCCACCATACCCGCACTGCTTCCACGGAAAGAGGCAAAAAAAGGCGACCATCCGAATCCAAAGACAAATTCAACTGACGTATTTTCATTGGTCAGCCGGTTAGCGCGGTCGATGCTGACATCAAACAAACACACACACACACACACACACACACACACACACACATGCTGCCCCCTCACGGGGTCCCAGTTCATGGCAGATATAAGTGTTTTGTGTTTTCAACCGCACTAAGACTGACGTTTTTTCATTGGTCAGCCAGTTAGCGCGGTCGATGCTAATAATAATAATAAAAAAAAAAACACACACACACACCTGAGCGATGGCGGGGTTGAGCTTGTCCATGAGGTCGAAGATTGCGTCCAGCAATCCCGGCACATGGTCGAGCACAAGCTCCTCCTCCGCTGTACCGTAGGTCTCGAGAGTCAGCGTGTTCACCGCCTCGCACACCTCCGTCGCAGAGCCGGAGCCAAGCGCTCTGGCCAGCTTCACCACAAACACACGGGGGGGGAGGGGGGGGAGACGCAACAGGAAGACGGGGGGGGGGCACTCATAGCCGGGCATGCCATAGTGGTCACGACACTCTTGTTGAGACCATGTGCGCGTGCGTGAGCAGGAAGCGGCAACGTCCCTCAGCTATAACGGCGATTAGAGCGGCGAAAAACTTAAGAAAAGGGGTTCGCTTCAACCAAGCTCCCGGGAACAACACGAGTGGCAACCAGGGGAAAATATGGAGGAAATAAAAAAGTTAGATGTAACGGATCCTTTCATTGACAAGACAAAATCCAAACGTTTTCTTGCCCCGTCGACTCCTGCGGAGGGGAAGAGGGATGGGGGGACCAAGCGTGTGTACCCCCCGAGGTGACTGATTGACGCAGCCTGTTGCCTCACTGAACATATAAAAAAAAAAACACGTTCCGGACGAAACAAAGGGAAATAGTGGGCATCGTGGAGGATGACGATACAAGGAATCTACGATCTACGTAGATCCCCGGGCTTGTGAAAAACGTGCTGAAATGACGACGCGCCATCGGATATCTTAACTCCGCACGGTTGGGGGTGTAAATGTCCATGAGCCAAGTCTGTACTCTTGTGGGAGTCAAACGTAGTAGTATGTACCAAGACTCACGTCTGCCCGCGGGATGGATGCAGAAACCCCGACACCGCCGCCGTGCAAGGGGCCCCGCGATCGGTAACTGTCATGTGACGGGTAGGCGCCTCCGCCTCTGGAGTAGCTGTCCCCGTGCCGGCCGCCGCCGCCGCCGCTGCTGCTGCTGAGGTAGCCACTCTGTTGCATCCGGTGATGATGTTGCTGCTGCTGCTGCTGCTGCTGAGCCTGGTATATCGCCTGCTGTCTGGCGTGCTGCTGCTGCGATATGTACTGCTGCTGATGGTGATGGGATTGCGGCTGCTTGAGCAGCATCTCTTGCTCAGCCTGCTGCTGCTGCTGCTGCTGCTGTTGCCGAATCATGAACCGCTGCTGCTGCTGCTGCTCCTGTAGCTTGCGCTGCTGCTGCTGCTCCAGCAGTTTGCGCTGGTGGTGCTCCTCCTGCTGGCTCATCTGCTCCATGTGACGCTGCTGCCTGCTCTGCTGCTCCTGCACCACGCATGAATACGCCAGCAGACAGGCACGAAATAACGAGAAAATAACGAAACGAGATCTACCCGAACAAAGGAGGAGGGGGATTACGCCCATCTATCCGCAGGCATACCGGATACATACATCTTCAATCCCTTTGCCTTTGGTAGTGCTGGTGTGTGGCAAAAATTATATTCTTTGAATTCTTCGTGACATGTACCAATCAGCTAAGAGAACCCTCAAGTTATATCAACCACACAACACTTTTCTCTCCAAGTATCCTCCTCCCCCTCCCACACGGTGCCTCACTTCGTTTTCAAGGCTATTTGTCTCTAACATTCATGGTTTTGCGGACCCTTCGGGTCCATTTTCTTTGAGTACACCTTGTTTAGGGTAAGTTAGCCTGTGACCACGGGAATCGACGGCGTCAAGTGGTAGATCAGTACGGGCAGGCGATTGTACAGGGAAGAGAGATCAGTTTTTTTTTTAACGTGAAGACAACAGCAACAACAACAATGCTGCACCAACCTGCTGTTCCAGCTCCCTCTGCCTCATCTGCCGCTGGTAGTGCCCGTGCTGCTCGTACCGCTGCGTGCCCACGCCGGCGTGCTGGTGACACGGGACATAGAACAAAGGGTAGAGAGAAGCACAGCGGCCACGACAAGTGACACTTTGAGAAATACCACGATAGTTGTAACCCCCCCCGCTTTAAAACCTTTATCCTGCTCCGCAACTTCACATGTCCACGCTTTCATATAAATTACGTTGGCGTGGTGGTCGAAACGCGAAAAGATGCCCAGACTCCCCCGCCAGCGGAAGCACACGCTCCTGTCCACGCTAACCGTACATGACAGGAGCAGGCACAAGCATGTTTGTTTACGCACGTAAAGACGCTTGCATCTTTCGCACGGAACAGGTTTGCATCTTTACAACATCTTTCCACGTGTATACCACCAGCAGCTCGTGATCAAGACGTAAAGAACATACAGAAAAAAAACTCAACCGGACTTACGATCGTACACAACATTAAGATGCCAAATACAGAACAATTCACAACAACACACAGCATACTGCTGTAACATCATGGGGATCGTATTGTTCAGAATCAAGGGGGAAAAAAGAAAACACGATCCCTTGACCTTGGCACATCCATCTGCAGCTTCTTGTGTGCGAGGACCCCACACCAAAATCTGCACAAAAACTCTAGAAAAAAAGTGTACAGAGCGGGATCTGGTCGCTCCTGTATCTCGACGGGACACAATCAGAATATGTCCCCCGCAAGAGTCATATAGCGCTCTCTCTTTAAGCGGGTACGGCATACTACAAATTTCGTCTTCCACCTGCAATTTGTTTTATCTTATCGAAGTACTTCGTATCACACATCACACCTGATCTCGCCCCATTGGCGGCACGGCATCCTCTTGTTGCTGCTGTTGTTGCTGTTGCTGTTGTTGTTGTTGCTGCTGCTGCTGCTGCCCAGCGCTACTACTTGACGGGAAGTGCACCTGCTAGGACAACGGTCACGTGCGTCCGAGCGAGCCACGTGGGTTTGAGCGTGTCACACAGGAGTGAGTGTGTTCGGAATTGTGCTTAGGAGGGGTTGGGGTTGTGGCGGAAACCACACGACACCCCCTTCACGACTGCAGCGACACCGGCATCAACCAACCACCACGAAAAACAACATCATGGTTTACAGTACAGTTACGTCAGACTTTTTGCCAAATAGCAGCCCTGAATGAGGGCTTCCATATGGTGTATGGCTCGTTTCATCAAAGCCAGGAAAAGGGTGCAGTGCAGAACTGCACAACCACATCAATATCATCAACAACAAGGGCAACAACAAGACGACATGCTGTCGGTGCCGCCATCATCACCAAATCGCTACCACAGCGCAGCAGCACCAGCCTAACCCTACACCTAACCCTTGCCTGTTCGAAACCGTAGAGGAAGTTTTTGTAGTGCACCGAAATCGTGAACAAGGTCTGCTGACCAGAATCCAGCCCAAGCTCCGACGTAACCTGTGATATAATCAAAGGGGGTGACGTGGATCACAACCACGGTACACACGAAACATAATCGAGCACGCACACACCCGACGCATGGGAAGACACGCACACAAACGGGGATGGGGGGGGGGGGGGTACTCTTTATGTTTTGCGTGACTTAGCGGTTGGACGATTGACCGTACATCAGCTGTTTCCAGACGGACTGCCATTCGTGTTCCTACTCTCTACTCCTGCATATCATGTATGTAGGACACCAAAGTTTTGGGCGCTCTTGCCAGCATTACTGCTGTACAGCGGGAAAATAATGTTAATTTTACTCCCGTGCTCGTTGGCCTTAATAGTGTCTCAGCAGAGAGAGAGACACACACAACTAAGATAGCGGGGCAGATGCAACATTAAACATAGGACCGGTGTGACAGCTTGATACTTCCGCGGCGGAAACATCGTGAGATCCTAAACAACTGGCTTCCTGTGCGCCGGACAGGTCACAACCACCACCATACAATTTTTCTCTAATTTCGCAAAGTGGTTCCGTAAGAGTGTTTGCTGGTTGGACTGACCTCATCCCATAGGCCCTTGTCCTGTACCCGGCGTACACCCCCGCGCTTGGTAATAGTCTCCAGTAGCGCCACCAGGTCAAGCAGCTTGCCGTTCACCATAGGCACATCCCTGAGAACCGCTCCCTGGAAAGGTCCGACCAAGAACAAAAACAAGACAATGCGATCAGTCGAAGGGGGGCCGATATCCGGCGATTATTTTCATCTGCTGTCACGTGGCTGGCTAGGAAGTGAGGCTTTGGGCGCCTACAACTGGTGTGAGTTCAGCAGGAAGGCAAAACAAATGCTGAAAGTCACAGAAGTCAAGGTGTTTTGTAGTTGCTGGTGGCGGGGCAAAACCTGATCGAGGGCAGGCTTGATGCCTCACACACACGAAGCATCCGAGGCAGAGCCGCGAAGGTCCTTGGTATTCACGGCAAGCAGAAATAATAAAGTAACTGCTGCGGCGACGCTGCTGTTTTACCCGTGACCACTCTATGCCTGCCTGTAGTCCATCTACAGCAGCAGTGCATCGCCACCCCTTGGCTGGTCTCTCTCTTCTAATTGCTGCTCTGTTGGTGTGCTCAGTCAAATCGGTGTTTCAATCCGTAGAGGGCGCTCTCCCCCAAACAGCTCCTGGCTGAAGCTCGATAGCGTATTGTACAAGTGGTAGGATGAAACTTGTATGATGTGCCCTTGGAGTCTTTGCTTGGCTACCGTAGTTTGTGTAAAGGGTGGGTCCAGCGCCCCTGGCTGGTCGCACGGAAGGCCCTTCTGAAAGGATTCCTAGAGCAAGACAACTGACAGAAAAGAAAGACCTCCATATGTACTCCCCAAACCCAAAAACAATTAATTAAACCAAACACCCCATATATGAATTTGATTCTTGAAAAGGGAAGATGCCCTCGTTGATTTAGTAGCCAAGTTTCTCAGTCAGGTGACGACGCAATTTTGTCTGACTTGATTGATTTGCGAAGCGTTTTTTACCCCTGTCTTGTGTACCACCTGTAAAGTTGTTGTCACGTGTACTCCATCCTTCGCAATGAGCTTATTAGCGTTCAGATCTGGTGCAGCTTTAATTGGAACGTTCCTTTTTGCAAGTACTGGATTTGCCCACGAACCTCACCTCCCCCTCCCACTTCCAAATACTTCGAACACGCCTACAAACTGCCTGTATTCATGTTACGCCCCCCCCCGTTTTGGAAGTAATCGCTTCCCACAAACCAAAAACAATAATTAATTAACACACCATTTACAACAATATTATGGCATCTCACCGAAGAATCAAGCAGGTGTCATATGTCATTGATAAATAGACTTGCAAGCAACGATAGATTCGTCGAATATGCGATCTATCTTGTAAATTTGAACCCTGCAGTCGGATCGGAAGGCGGTGGAAACAAGGCGGGACTGTCAGTTTCCCGACGTCTGAACACTCAGTGCCAAGTGCCAGTGCCAAGTGGTGTGCTGTTGTGAACATTTAAGTTTAACGACAGCGGCAACAGAGGACGCGCATCTCTGTGGCGACGACATCAGAGAACGCCCACGGCTACCCTAGATCCCCAGATGGTATATCAATCAGCTCCTTTGAGACGTACTTTGCGGTCTAAAAATGTCATCACAGGATCACAGGATCACAGGACACTCTGTCGGGGTGAAGCATGTGGCAATGCTAGCAGTCAAGCTTGTAGCAGCGGTTATATGTGCGAACCTGTTCAACCAAAGGCTTTACTCTGTCCTTCACCGGCAGCTGGGTATGAGGTAAAAGCTGTGTACCCGTATGCATATACTGTGATCCATGTTAGCTGCACAGCCAAAGTGGCAAATCGTCTGCACTGTCTGGGACAGCAGGATGCACTTGGTGTCGAACCTGTCCATTGCCTCGCAGAAACGCGAATATCTCTCGTGCTCGGACCAGCTCTCCGGCCTTAATCGGCCCTGAGTACAAGCTCTCCAGCGCCGCCACTGCCCTTTCGTCCATCCTGTCCAGTCCAGCCCTCTGTTCGGCCTGTGGGCAGCCGTGACCGGAGCACACAACACACTACACTTGACATGCTGCCATCGCGAAACACCCCCCCATCTCCAGCTCCATCTGCGGTACCCCCCCCCCGCCGCGTCAGTTGGCCGCGTCAAGACGGCCCAGCTCACACCTACACCGCTACCGCTCAACCAACCCATGCCTGAACCGCAATTGAGGAGACGCCCTGTGGGCTCCGGAAGTAGAGGATCTGCTCCTCCGCGTCCTAATGTGGCAAACCAGAATCAAGCTGTCGCTCTGGCTGTCCTGTCAGAGCTGGGGGCCATGATGGAGCTGTTTTTCAAAGGACTCAGGTCAGTGCCCGCAACTCAGTCTTCTCTGGGTTGAACTACGTGTACACACGCAATGGGACGGTGTTGGTTCCCAGTAGTATGAGGCGTTGTGGATGTGTTGGGGATTAGGGAGCTCGTCTCTGGTACAGGCGGTTGAGATAGAACGGCTGTTATTTTACAATGAGCCCAACGACCGCTGCGGCCGAAGAGAGAGATGCGGCGTGGGGTGAAGGATATTATTCGCAGTCCATGCTCCGCACTCCGCACTTGTTGAAACTTGAATCAAAAGAGAAGAAGGCTTGCTCTCAAGGCTCCGTCAAAGCGGTTGCTAATTCACAACAGTAGCACCAAAATGAATGCCTATTATTAACTTTGAAAGCTAGAGAGCCCATGTGAGAGCACGCATGCAAAAATAAAAATAGTACTCTGTAGATGACCTAATAGCGGGGAGCGCCCGCCCTTGGATTTTCGACGTGACCAATCACGCGACACACCGTGGCTCAGCTCTCACACCGTGCCGCTAGACTAATCCACTTGCTGCCCGCCTATCACGCCATACGCTCACAGGCTTAAGGAGATGAAAGGTTGGGGCGAGTTTTTCGCGCGGTTCAAGGCGCCACGAGCTTGGAACACCAAGGTCCTCGATGAGGTACGTGGCGGACTTACAGAGTAGGCGGAGAGTTAGGATTTAGGCGGGATTTAGACTTAATAGGCGGAGAGTTGGGAATGGTCGTGGCTTCACCGACCATCCTTATGGTACCGTACAGAGCGTGCCCGGAGATAAGAAACGTCAAAGTCGTATCAAGCCTCAATCTCTTTTTGGGCAGAAGGACCAGCCGAAGCCGGCCAATTTCTTCTTGTAGATGTCACAATCGTCAACCCATGTGCAAATCGAAGCATCGTCGAGTCGATCCCAACACCAGGATCCGCCCTCGAAAGATCGAGCTGTAAGTAAGGCAAACCAGTATGCGGGAACTTTCGACCCGTCTAGATCTACCCTCGTTACTGCTGCTTTTTCAACGCATGGTGGTCTTGGCCAAGGCACTAATCGATTAATCGTAGCTATCGCCGACCACTTGGCCTACGAAGCATTTTGCGGGGAGAATTTCGACGATGAAGCAGGCTTGGTTCGACTGAAAGGCTTACCATACTGACATAATCCGGAGACGGTTTACCTTCGAGCTGGCTCGTGTTCTGTCGGTACGAACTTCTCATGTTTTCAAATGTCGTTGACTGCTGATCGATCAATTTCCACCACGGCTAATAGGTTGAGATTTCAGTAGTAGTTTTGGTGCAAAGCGACAACGATGGTATTGAGGTTAATTCTTTTGAGAGTGACGGAGATGAAGGAACTGGAAGAATGGAGGATGAAGGCGATGATGGAGGAGGAAACACGGCGTAGAAGAGAAAAAAGGGTTCGAGCCAGAGACCTTCATCACAACAAACGCCGCAGGATCGGAGAGGACCTGCGCAAAAGTAATGGGAATACTGTGTTTGTTCGTCCCATCTATTCTGGCGCCGGTTCAGTGACGGCTAAAATTCCTCCCTACTCAAGCTTTGGGAATAGGAACAAACCATTTCACCGGTACTACCATGCTTCGCAGATCCTCGGGTCCTCTAGACTTTCCAGGTGTTACTCCTTGTGGTGGCACAGCAGCAGGGCCGCTGCGAGATCTCAAGCTGCTGTTTATGCACGCGAATTACGTACGAAACCGCTCTCGTGTGTAACCTCATCACAGCAGCCTCGACGGACTGCTGCTGCTACCTATAATCGGGAAAACCTGATACATTACCTTACAGCCGTGCGTCAACTCTTTTTGATTTCTTCGTCATGGGAGTGGCTTTTGGCCACCCGTTCCCGTGCCCAAAGATTTGCAGTCCACACAATGCCCGGCCCGCCCGCCCGCCCGCCCCCCGTCCGAACCCCGTCAAAAATCCTTCCTGTCCAGCGGCTGACGACGAATTTCCTCCACTACCGAGGGAACTACAGCGTGGTTGCTGCCGGCTTGCTGGTCGTGGGCATGTGAGTCAAGAGGGGCCTGGCGACGACTGTGCTTGGACCTTGTCCCCCATAGCAATGTTTTGCCTGGAGTGTAGAACGCGGCACCTGGGGGGCGTACTCATGTTTTGCATGCCTTGGCAGTTAGACCACGCGTCCTCGAGAGGACGGAAGCATTGTTCCCACAGGACAATCACCGATCGCCAAACGTGGGAAGGGCGAAGGGCGGGGGTAGCCACGTGGCCTCGACATTCAGTGTCTACTGTATGGGATCCATATCTAGCTGAGTAACGGTGAAGGTATAAGGTATGGGTGCCCACGGCGTTCGCCGTTCCGTACTTCGAGTATCTCGGACATCCTTTTTCCCCGAACCCCTTCGTGCTGCGTTAATAGTCTTCCCGTACATCTGCCTTCGCTTCGTGTGCTGCTGCTACTGTAAATGACAGTATTTCGAACCCGTACGTGCTGCTGGCATTGCTCTGCTGCGCGCTGCTGCTGACGTTCCTGTTCCCCACTGGGGAACCACGGCGAGCGGTAAGGGTGGGCGACCGGACGCTGGAAAGGCAAGAGCGGCTGGCGGCGGCGGTCATCGGTGCGTACAGTACAACTGTAGTACCCCCCTTCAAATCTCAGCATTTGGCGCAACACCACGCTTGGGGGCATTCCCGCAGCCAGAGGGGGACACTTTAGTAATTGCCCAGGTGGGGTTGTAGAGAATCGGAGCAGCACAGCCATCCCAAGGGCAAAAGAGGAATTGTCTTTTGTGTTCGTGTTGGATGGGCACAGCTTCCCCGATGCTTCCACGAGTTGCGGATATCCTTGACTCCTCACAGCAATGCACCATACTCATCCCCGAAGCGCGCGCACTCTCGTGCTTTCCCGCTGGTGTTCCCCCTGGGGGTTTCAGGCGCGTCTTGCATCCTGGGGTTGACGGGGGCCTGGTACATTCTCCTCTTTTACGGCGGGGCGGGCGTGCTTCTCTGCCTTCTGCACGGCGTGTTTCGGCCCCGATCAATAGGCAGCAAGACTAGCCGCGCGGCCGCGGAAGCCCAGGCCGGTTTCACCATCGAGGTGCGTGTGGTGCTCGCGACGGTCGGTTGTTGTACATATCGCCGGGGGGGCGTGTCGTGGAGTCCAAGTTTAGGCTCACAGCTTTTGTTGGGGATCCTTAGGCAGAACCACGCACAGCAGTCACATGCGACCCCATTTCCGGCGGTGCCCTGCCTCTTTTAGCGTTGGGGCGAACGGTAGAGATGAACGAGAAATCTCCAAGGCTGACGGTCAACTTTTGCTGTTCAGTTCAACCGCCCTCTTCTTTCCACATGCGACCAGGTTACAACGGCCTGTCGAGAGTAGTGTTTTTGCCCAGTCACGAGTATGTGTCGTTTTGAATCATCAGGCACCGCGCTTATTTGTTTTCACCCTCTTGTTGTGTGTGTCTGCGCATATTCAATTCGATGCTAACTCCCCTGTCTTTCGCCGCCCTTTCCGCCATGTCTCGCCTGTGATCTGCCCTTGTCTACCTGTCTACCTGCCCCCCCCGACATATTGACTACGGCACGGAAACTACCCACAATGCCGATGCTCCCACAAAGCAGAACGCACAGAACTTCGCGGAAAACATCTTCGGCATAACCGGCTCGCGATCCCAATAGCGTCCCGAGCACATCCATGTGGTGCGTTCTTACCACATGGATGGCGTCTTTTTCTGCAAGGCTTCGTCGTTTCACAAGAGGCAGAGAAGGGGAGGACGTGAGGTCAGCTCTTCCTTTCCCGATAGGGGGACTTGCAAAAAAGAGCATATCCTCGGACGGCCAATCAGGAGCAGGCGGATCGGAAGGTGGCTGGTAGGGCATCGTTGTGAGAATGGTGCTCTCGTTCACAATCGAGTTTTTTGCGGGATGAGGTTGAGAATGGTGCTCACTACCAGTCGACTGTCGCGGGATAAGGTTGATACCGTGGTGAATCCCGGCCGGGGGATGCTATGAAGCAGGATGCGTTCTGGTGGGGAGGGTGGCTTGCTGGTTGGGACGGGGACGATATGGCGGAATCCGAGGATGTCAAGAAGAAAGTTTGGTTTTGCGTCACAACAAGCTTCTACGCTATTGTAGAAAAGTAGATATGTCTTCCCTGCCCGATATGGCGATCGATGCGTATTGGGAGTTGCGAAGGAAGGAGATGACCTGTTGTCCATACTCATGAGACATCGTGACACCCAGGGGACGGTGTGCGTCGAAAAGGTTTAGCTGGCCCGGTGCTGGTTCCGCCATGCCGCACTCTGCTCGTACGTACTTGGTGGTCGCGGAGACGGCGTTACTCCCCCCTTCGATCTGCAACCAAAATTTGAGGCCGAAAGCAGCTACATAGTTTGATATTAACAACGAAGCTCGTATTGAAGCACTTAGTTGCTGGTTGATCCCGTAAAGAGTTGCTCGCAGGTGACATGTTGTGTACGTATGTATCCGTGCGCATGTTTGCACATGTTGGCTTTTGTGATCTGCTACACTTGTATCGCGTTTGCGGAGTTTCTGGGTCCTTTTTTGTTTCCATTCTTTGAGTTCTAGAATTGTGTACCCTTTTTGGGTAGTTGGCCAGTGATCGTGAAAGGCGTCCGCGTCAATTGGACCAGTACTATGGGTATTGACGGTAGTGAGTAGTGAGCAGAGGGAGATCGTTGTAACGGTTTTGACTGTGAAAAAAAATAAAGCAACGATCAACAATAATTTTCTTGCCACGACCAGACGGCCAGCCATGGGTAAGAATTGCCGGTCTGGCTGTACCCCTTGTTGCCAAGGTACCTTTCCTCCGTGTGCGAGCACCGATGCCCACAAGGTGTGTCAACACCGCACAATTCCTGGCCCTGATGTTGAAACGACTCTTCTTGTCAACACCTGCCGCGCACCGACATCATTTCTCTCTGTCATCGAGGCGAAACGTCCACTCCTCTCTGGTTACACAAAGATACTGCTGTACCTCTAGTTCAGGCTTTTACATCTTCATGACTCAGGGGCATCGATCGATCGTTCGTGTTCCCTCCCACCAGATAGATAGAGCTGTAGTGTGGCCTCGTACGTCGTACATTACCCCACCCCTGGTAACACGAGGCAACGCTCCTTCGCATTGACGGTTTCAACATGCGCCTGTTCTGTTGTAAAACCTCCAAAAACACATGCACCCCCCTCAGAAAACCAACCGTGGCCCCCCCGCTGAGCGGCAGCGGACACACGAACAAACAAAAACGCTGGCTGCTGGCTGCTGTTGTGACCCTGCAAGAAGGAAATCATGAGTAAGTGCCTCGAGATGCTTGGTGGTTGTGTCTGCTGTTAAATATGCTGCCTGTGACCTTGTGCTTTGAGAGGGAAGCAAGCGGCACCGGATGCAGTTACGGTATGGTAGTGTGTTGCCTCGAGGCCATTCCTGCTCGCTGGCACCGCATCCGAGCAGCAGCGTCTCAGACATTGGGGCTTGAGCCCTGGCATGGACGCCTTGCCGATAGGAACCACTTGTATGGTTGTTACACAAGCCTCGCTCGCTTGATGGGCTGTCTTCTAGGTGCCCATCTGGCGGCGGTGTGATGTAATTCACGGGTCGTATCCTTTCCGCGCCAGCAAGCCTTACAGCCAGCCACGGCGTTGAGATCGGAGCACCACCCCAGCAGCACAGCAGTCTAGACAACCAGGTGCTAGGTGCAGCTTGCCAACACGATACGCAGATGGCTCTCACGGTGACGGGATGGACACGAAATAATGCAGTAGCCCAACACAGAGCTGATCAGAAAGGAACACCATGTTTACATCATCCCCCCACGACCCGCACATCGAAAACTTATGTTTTTTTTGGCGGAAGGCAAGAGGAGGAAACTGCTCAACAACTGCTGTTTTTAACACTCAAAGATACATGTCATCAGTGTATAGACGTAAAAAAAGACTCGAAATAAGTCCAGTAGACCCAGCCGGTTTTCCTCCACTCACTGAAAAGGCTCCACCACATCCCGCTCGACTGTGGTTATATCTCGAATGGGTAGTCTTTCTGTGTGTGTATATATTTCTTGGTACATGTGGCACCTAAGCTAAGCTTTCTCCCACGCGCGGGTTTTCTTCCCACCTCCTCTTATATCATCTTAATCACAGGCGACGTCAAGAAGAAGAAGAGCAAGAAGTCCAAGGGCGGTGATGAACAATATGGCGCCGGCGCCGCCTCCGCAGCAGCAGCCCCTCAGGCGGCCACGGAGTACATGATCCGGCCGGAGACGACAAAACCGGCCCTCAACACGTCCCAGTGGCCGCTGCTGCTGCGCAACTACGACGACCTCGAGTGCAGGGCGGCGCACTACACGCCCCTCCCGAGCGGTTGCTCCCCGTTGAAGCGCGAGCTCAAGGAGTACATCCGGTACGGCGTCATCAACCTTGACAAACCCGCCAACCCATCGTCTCACGAGGTAAGCACTCGTTTTTTTTTGCTTTTTTTTTGGGTGTAACACGACGAATCCATATCTGATGATGAGAGTCCCAGGATAAATTTGCAATTAATCCATAGCGTTAGCGGAAGCACTACCAATGTTTCTACGGTTCCTCCAGCCAACGGTTACCGATCCACCCCCCAAACCAACATAAACCGACTGCTGCTGCTGCTGCCACAACAGGTGGTGGCGTGGATCAAGCGAATCCTCCGGGTGGACAAGACGGGCCACAGCGGAACGCTCGACCCCAAGGTTACCGGGTGCTTGATCGTGTGCATAGACCGAGCGACGAGGCTGGTGAAGGCGCAGCAGAGCGCGGGGAAGGAGTACGTGGGCCTCGCGAGGTTTCACAGGTGCGGCGGGATCTGTCTGGTATCTCCGTAGAATGATACAGCAGCACGAGTGAGGCCTCCGGAGTGGGCTCATGAGAGAACATCAAGGGGTGATGCAAGATGGCAAGCAGGCAGCAGGCCAATCAACCCACAGCTGGCTGTGGCTGCCCGTTGTGTCGTTTCCCAAGCTCAACACCTCACATAGCTGACGTGCTCTTTACTCCAAGAGCCCAGCGAACCTGAACGAACCAACAAAAGTAATATTTACAAGTCTGGGTATTCTTGTATACTCGTGTGTACATCTTTAGACGCCGGTGTCGGCTTGAGCGGACTGTTGGCGCGGCAGAGGGAGGACTATAGCTGCCGAAGTGGGGTGGGTGGGAGAGGAAGAAAGCAATAACTTGCCTCATTCACGTGCCTCCGATCGAGCTAGGCGATGAGAAAGCCGCAACGAGTTGGTGTTGCAGTCAACCTATCGACTATTTAGTGAACCCTTATCCGAACAACGAACGTCATTGCTGATTTGCTGTGGACCAAGCCGTTTGACAGAAATCAACGGTCTAAGCAAGCCAGCCCATCGAGTAATCCAAGCGGCAAATCGAGCCAGTCCACGGTTCAACCCGAACCGCCATCCGAATCACTCGAGCAATCGTGGCAGTTACCCATGCACACCCACTCTCTTTAATTCTCTCTCTCTCTCTCTTACACACACACATTCCCTCTTCTTGGTTTTTTTATATATATTTTTCTCTCTCACACGTACTCACACTCGCCCCCCCTCTCTCTCGGTCACACTGCCTTTCTCTATCTTCACGACAACAACGACAGTGCGGTGGACGGGAGCGCGGTAGAGGCGAGGATGAAGGTGGAGAAGGCGGTGGGATTGCTGACGGGTGCCCTCTTCCAACGGCCACCCTTGATCTCCGCCGTTAAGAGGCAGCTCCGGATCCGAACTATCTACGACAGCAAGCTCATCGAGTACGACAACGACCGTCATCTAGGTGACAAACAGGACAAACCGCATATTTTGGGAGACCCCGCAGTAGATTTTGGTTATTTTGCGGACCATCTCTTTTGTCTTTTGTACGGGGGGGTAAGCGTGGGAGAGCAACAACACGCGGAACGGGGGATGAGGTACTGAAACACACCGACACCATGATGAGTTAAGCGTCATCGTTGACGTGTTTTGCCCCGCTACAGTATTTTTCTTGGCTTACTCTTGTTTTTGGGGGTTGTTGCGTCATTTTCCAGGAATTTTCTGGGTGAGCTGCCAGGCGGGGACCTACGTGCGAACGCTGTGCGTCCACCTGGGCCTCATCGTCGGGACGGGGGGGCACATGCAGGAGCTCCGGCGGGTGCGGTCGGGGGTGTTGTCGGAGGAGGGTAACCTGGTGACGATGCACGACGTGCTGGACGCGCAGCACGTGTACGACACCAAGAAGGACGAGTCTTACCTCAGGAGGATCATCATGCCGCTCGAGGTGGGAGGAGGGGGGGGGGGGGGGGGGGT